TCACATGCAACGGAGATTTGAGTGTCGCAAAAGAGTTATCGTCCTCCGTCGTATATCGCGCAGGGCGGAACATCCTCACCTTTCTTCGCGTTAACTAATTTGATGGGCGTCGTTCAACGATTCGGCTGAAATTCGTTAAGTATTTTCGATCGCACGCTGTCTTTCGTAGTGGAAATCGCGACGTTCTCCAACTGACACTTGCATTGCACGATTTGGTGCAATGCAAGTGTCAGTATTGTGCCTCTGTGGTGCGAGCGCCGTGACCGCTTCCGATAAAAACACGCTTGAAACGAATTAGTGATTCGATTATTTAGACACCGATCACGGACAGCCATCGACAATTTACGATCCGTTTGCTTTCCACACGACGAAACGAAACACGTTTCTTAAATTCTTTTTCACCATGTCCGCCGACCTCAACCGTCATTCTGTTCGCGACAGATTTGTGGCAACAGCTTCGCTTTTTAACGAGAAAGTGTAGACGGAGAGACTTCCATTATCGGCAACAACAGATGCGGCGATATCTTTACGCGATAGTCGATAAGGCAATCTGCAATGCATTAAGGTGATATGCGGCAGGCGGATCTGGCGAGGTCCCATGGTGTAATGGTTAGCACTCTGGACTCTGAATCCAGTGATCCGAGTTCAAATCTCGGTGGGGCCTTTTTTTTCTTGGCCCTGTCATCGTTCACGCAATTGAAGGCGACAGCGACAGTAGAATTCACAAACTTCTTTTGCTTTGAATTTAGAACAGAAACTGTGCTTCACGCAAGTGCAGAGTTTCTGCTCGACGCTTTGCAACGTTTCCATATGTTTATTCTACTTCAGCGACGGTTTCAAAACGGAATTCAACATGTTGCAAAGTTGTGACCCAATTAGCATTATAGTTTCGAATCACAAAATGTCTTCCGGGCGCTTACGTCACACTAAAATAGACATTTTCAATCAACCGCTCATAACAAAAGTTCGTGTCAGGAGTGGGATTCGAACCCACGCCCACTATCGTGGACCAGAATGCACGCTCCCGAATTATACAGGAAAGGTCTACCTTGAGTCTGGCGCCTTAGACCGCTCGGCCATCCTGACGTTATTCTGCGATTACGATTGATGCCTAAACAATGGATAATGTTCATTTCTCGTTATGTTCAAGCAGTTTTATGACAGGCCGACGTTTAACTAACTAAACGACGAATCAATTGCAATTGTTTAGTTTACGGAATCTCGAAGAAGTTATGACATGTTTTGTCTCTTACAAGAAATGAAATTTCCCCCGACTCAGTGATGACGTCGACGTTAAATTACGAGTCGTTTTTCCATTTTGACACCAGAGAATTGGAATTAGAGACGGGAGGTCCCGATTGGCGTACTTCTAATGCAAGACAGAAGTCACTTTATTTCAATTCGAAACTCTTTTCTCGAAAGGAGTTAAATAGAGGACAGGCCCGAATCTATTGCTAACAGGAAAAGTACGATGTACAGGGGCGAGGCAGTACATTACTAATTTTAGATTGAGAGCATATATTTTAAATTAAATAAATTTAGGATATGGTGAAAAATTGCTTGGTGTATGTGTAAATTTACATCTTTATTTTCAGTTGTTAAATATTATAAAGATTTGAGAACTTAGGAACAATTTTAAAAAGTTGTTAAAAATTGCGTTTTTTTTTCTTTCTTTGTTGATTGTTTGTGTTTTATATATGTATTTTTTACAGTTGGAAAAGGCCAATGGCCATAGTGTCGTTTACTTTACATATATATATGAAAGTCACATGACTTATCAATAACCAACTTTTAAGATACTTTTAAGTACCTTAAATTAAGACAATATTACAAAAATTAAATGAAAATTTAATAACATAAACACGATAGAAAATGGTCGTTTTAATTACAAGAAAAATTCTAATAACAAATGAATATAAAGTTGTAATTGAATAATAAACGAAAACGTTAAAATTCAATTATTATGTATTAAATATATTATAATAATAACAGTTCTATGGTTTTGTGATTTCTGCGAGTTATATAAAGGCACACAATACAGATTAGATAACATACAACACAATTATTTATTAACTCGCTAGTTCAAATACAGGATTTCATAGGATACCAACAATTCTAGTTGTCACTTTTTCCGAACCGAACATCCGATTAACTAAAATTATCTTACTTAATACTAGGTTCCTACTACTATACTATTTAAACTAATTGAACGTAGCCGGCTTAATCGAAGATTCAGAAGGTGAAAACGGGTAAGATTAGCTATAATGTAATTATCTTAATCTTCACTATCGTTACTTTTTGCCCAGCAAAGCGGGTTTTTGCAGCTAGATTCTAGATTACTTAAAAAAACAGTCTTTTATATATATAAAAAAAACTATATTACATACAAATAAAAACCCAGCGAAGCGAGATCTTGCAGCTAGTCAAAATATATTTTAAATTATCATTATGTTAATAATGATAATTTAAAATATATTTTGATAAAATTGTCGTTTAATAAAATTGTCATAAAAAGTTTTAATTGGAATAAATTTTAGCTTTTGTAATTTTGAGTGACATTTTGAATAAAATTAGTTTGTTTCTATGCAGTTTTATTCTTATAAGCAATACCTCACAGTATCTCGTAGGCCACTAGTGTCTGTAAATCAAATATTAAAACACAAAAAAAATCTCGTAGTCAAAACATGATCTTTAATATCACAAAAGCAAAAAGCCGAACTTAAGTAAAAATTTTTGTGTTCATCTTATATTGCGTCACACAGCTTGGTTTTTAAAAATATTTTCGCTTCGAGGAACTTTTACGTGAATTTGACGTCATTTTTTAATGCGTTTTTATTGCAAAACTAAAGCCTGAGATTACACCAGCAAATGGCTGGAAAAGGAAAGGATTGTTCGTTTCGTCAAAAAAGTATACATCAGTTTGATGTAATTTTAAAAATTTTTAAAAACGACGTTTATGTTTACTCTCTCTGAAAGAAACAAACACGGCTTAGATCTCAAGCGATATTTAGGAAATTTTCTGTTAAATTGGTAACGGATGTTGATATCTCTCGTTGACAAGTCAATCAGTTAGGGCGCGTTCGGAAATTGTAACCGGTGTTACTGGTAACTGCTGTTAGTTACTAGTAACACTGGTTAATTTCCAAACGTGCTCTATGACAGATGGTTGGCAATTGCCTTCAGTGCATAATGGGTGTATCAACTGCCTTCAGGCAGAAGTGTGGTTCATTGCGAAAAGCCACATAAGTGTTCTCTGGGTTGCATTAGTCAGAGGTCTTGGTATGTGATGTTAGGTTACTAGGCATTGACAATGCTACTTTCACCTTTTTGGGCTCTAATGATGATCAGATTCTGATTTGGGAACATTGATAATGCCGAAGGGCAGTACGGGCCCTGATGTTGACATAATGCAAAGTCAGTTCGGATCCAGCCAATTGGTCCAGCCCCAAATTAAGATATTATAAAAAGATGTAAAGTAATTAATTTTGTATATCTTTTAAGGTCCAACATTATTGTTTACAAAATTTGTGAAAGATGCTAGAAAAACTGGAAGAAGGTTTTATGCCTGTTCTGCTTGCAGAGATAGAAAAGAATGCCAGTTTTTTCAATGGGAAGATGAGAAGATGTCTTCTTGTAGGAAAAATCACTGGGAGAATGAATTAAAGAAAACACAGAATAAATTATCACATAAGCAATGTATAAAAAGAATGAAGCAAATTTTAAAACTTCAAGAGTCTGAGAGAAGATTTTGTAAGACTTGTTTCTGCTTTGTTCTGCCCAATGAACAGAAAGCTCACGGTCAACACGTTGTTTGTTGTGTGAAACAGGAAGAATTAAGAAAACCGAGTAACTTTGTTTTACCTGTAATAAATAACAAGAAAGAAGCAGTTAAGTATATTACGATTATTATTTTGATAAATTTTTTTATTTATTATTTTATTGGGCTGTAATTTTTAGATTACAGACCTATACATTCCCACTGTAGTCTATCTGTTTGTCCTTTGTTAATCTTGAGAACAGAGTTAGACAGATAAAATCAAGACCAGATATGGAAAGGTTAGGAGTTGGAGGTTCCAATTAAGTATCGGTATATATGAACTTCCAGTCTGAACTAGAAGTCACATGATTTATTTATTTATTTTACACAGGCAATGTTGCTAAGACAATAATTACCATCTCCTGATACAATAAACAAATCTCATTAAAATATATAATAAAATGCAAAATAACAATAAAAAATGTATAAAAATAATAAATTAATTAGAATNTCAGTAACAAAAGCTTCTATAATCTGTTATGACAAAGAACTTAAGTATTAATTTTTTTACAATAAATAAATGTTTTCATAATAGTATATTATTTTAGTCTGAGCATTTATTTATGTATGTGTATATGTTTAATC